GTTATACCCTGGTATGGGTGAAAAGCGGGCATAACTCCTCCCAAGGCCGCATATTTCGCATGTCACTCACTGCTCACTGTAATAATAATACTGCTAAAAAGCAGTTGAAGTAAGAAACTCAAATAGATTATTCGTCATTTATTTGCTTACTTCCACGCTATAAACTGCTAAGAATCGAATGTATCAGCATATTCGTGACAGCGTGGCTTTCAACAGCTGCCTATACAACTTTCTATAATTGGAGCGATTTCGGAGCAAGAACTTGTCAGAGAAAAAATTGTCCTAATACTAATGACTAAATTTCGATTTTTTCGCAATTGAGATGTTCCAAAAATAGAATTAAAATTCGAAATTTCTCAACACAAACGCAGCTGCAATCATCAATGAGTCATAAGGATATTTGTTCAATCGCTTTGATGTTCAAATGCGACTCTCAAAAAACAAATAGGGTAAAATATTAGAGTATTCTTGCCTAATATATAATCTGATAACATAACTTGTGCCTTTCATGAGGTCTGATATGGCAGTTATTCAGTACTAAACCCGTGTTTCGACCTTGCAGCGTCATCAGTAGCAGCACGATGCCTTCCGCTTCAGCCAAACCCTTGCAGGTATGTACTCTTTACATAAAAGGAATCGACGTCAAATTATGTACAAAATCACCGCAAATTAGGTAACAAAATCTCCGGACTTTGCAGGACCAACAGTCTACCGCTCATGGCTGGTAAAAAAATCATAACCTTACATTCTACTGCTTTTAGAGACTACGCTCAAAAAATATGTAATCTGATAACATATTTTGAGCTATTCATAGCCAATAATTCGGCGTTAATTCCTCCATATTCGAAGGGGATATCCCCCTACAATGGATTGGCTGCACCAAAAGGAACCGCGCTGTTGATGAGGCTGCAAAGCCAAAACACGTTTCAAGCATTGTATACGTGCCATAACAGACCTCATGAAAGGCTCAAGATATGTTATCAGAGTACATATGGTTTGAGCGAGGTCTATAAAAACCGTCAAATGCAGAGGCATTCTCGAGAAAGCTTATCACGACGTTTGAAGTTCAAAAGTCACACTTTATCCAATGATGCAGAGTGATGTGCAAAACCTTTGCGTTAGGCGGGACTCGAACCCGCATTTCATCCTATCTAAGGGAGCGTGCTCTCACCCGTTGCACTACTAACGCAAATTTTGCCAGCCACCACTCCTTCTACGTAACAACGCATCTTCCTAACAGCAACCATCCGTCAACGGTTTTGTCATCGGTAGTCGATATCGATAATGAACCTAGTCACACTGACAGATATTGGGTATTGGATGAAGAAACATAATCTTTTCTTTTGAGCTAAACTATTTTTAAACAGGCATGTTGTAACAACTCAAAAGAGTGACTTCCCTTGAACCTCGGCTTGTTTTAATATAATTAAAAAAAAGAGAAGGATACTCCATATTTTGAGGTTTTAATAGGTTGGGGTCACTTGTTCGATTGATCGCCATGAAGGACAATCGCTTAAATAGGTGGTACCAACCTCGCAAGAGCTTAAAATAAAAATCAGTTCTTGAACGCGCATGTATTGAGATCAATGCGCTGAAGAAACTATGTCAAAAAAATGAAATAGGTGCCCTGAAGCGTAGAAAGAGCGATGTGCAAAATGGGCATCAGTAGTGTAACGGATAGTGTGCACGCTCCCGGAAAGAATGAGGTGCGGGTTCTAGTCCCGCCTGACGCGAAAGTTTTGCACATTGCTCTACATCAATGGTTATATATTTGAAATAGGACTGTTAAAAAAACACATAGATGCATGTAAACAAGTGCAACTCTTAGAGAAAAAGAAATGAACACATGAAAATTCGTACAATTTTTCCCATTTCCAGCGGAATCGTTCCCATTTCGTAGGCCTCAGATGGGTGGTAGGAACGCGAACTTCCTGTTCATAGCAAAATAATCTCGTCGAGTAAAATCGACATAGGAATACAGAGATTTAGAAATGCGAAAAAAATTGAAGAAAATTGCCATTATCACTTACTTCGTACCTTCCCATAGCCATCTTCTACTTGATGTTTTCCAACGTAAACAAACTGAAACATAGAGAACCTCGTAAATAGACCTGGCATCGCATAAAAATCAGTAAAAAGAAAGAAGAAGAAAGGAAAAGAAAGAGAGAGAGAGAGAGAGAGAGAGAGAGATGAGAGAGAGAGAGCGGAGAAATGTAGCAAAAGAACTAACTTCACTTAAACCCTCTTCTTTTAAAGTTATAAAAAACTCATTAAATACAACACTACCGCCAACAACAAAGAAAATAATAACACTATGCACACCACTATTAATGTATATAAAAATACACAAAGTTCAAAACTTTTATTAAATTTCGTTACGTACTAATAAAACTTGAAAAAACTATCAACAAGATTAACAATTCTATCCCACGGAGAGAGAGAGAGAGAGAGAGGGAAGGAGAGAGAGAGCAGCAGAGAGGGAGAGAGGAGGGAGAGAGAGAAAGAAAGAGAGAGAAAGAGAGAGAGAGAGAGAGAGAGAGAGAGAGAGTAGTCATATGCAGATTTTTATGAAGATTTTACTTTGTTACTTTAAATGATCCGTATTTGCGCACTTTTTTCTATGGCGTAGATCCCAGCTTCCCGCATTCAACTCGACTCCTCGTTTACTCCAGGGTTACTTTTCTTTACAAACGACGTAGAATAGTGGTGGGGAGTACGTCTCCCTGCAATCTTGAGGATAGCCGAGCTGCGGCGTTCCATAGCGCGATCGTTCTTGATCGCTGGGGAGTGTTGGGGGAGGGAGAAAAACCCAGCGCTGAGTCGCGTCGAGCATCACTAGCCACTCGGCCACTGGTCTATCAGTGGTCAGACCAACATTCGAAGAAAATACGAACTGAGATGGAAACGCCAGGTGATCACTTAGATATTAGGTCGTACCATAAGTTTTGGCATTAGAGCATAAACACTGAATTTACTCGAGAAAAGGATTAGAATTGAATAATTCTATATCGTTCTATTGCGCATTTTCCTGTGAACATTTTGGTATGCGAATTGCCTATACTTTCTTCAAAATGGACTGTTTTCGGAAACATTTTCACTTGCTACTCATACAGAAATCGCGTGTAGGGGAAAATGCTAGTGAAGCGGCGCGCAAGATGGATGGAGCTTTCCTTGGACAGCCCGAGCTCGACTAATTCTCCAGACTCTTTTCTTCAGTTCGGGACTCCTGAGCCAATTCCTAGCTGTCCTTTGTGCAAGCGTGTCATTGCCACAAGCTCCATTGCCTTTGCGCGCCGGTTCACTAGCGTTTCCCTCTACGCGCCATTCGTGCATGAGCAGCAAGCGAGTCTCTTTTCACTTCAGCTCAATCTTGAGAAAAGTGTAGGCAATTTAGATACCAAAATGTTCACAAGAAAATGAGCAATTCAACGATACAAAATCATGCCATTTTATTTAATTCTGGCTAATGAATTTGGTGTTTATTTCTCTAATGCCAAAGATTATGAGATGACCTAGTAAATCATGAATTTCTGCCTTCAGAGAGTTAATTCTTCATAAAAAACCAGAATGAACAAAAGTCTTATTAAGCTCAAGGTCACATGTGTACGTGTCAATTAAGTTAACATCAAGATCTCTGATTCATCAGGACTCGAGTAAAATGTGCCACATCGAGATTGAACTATACAATGACTATATTTGAAGACCGACTTTCCTTTGATCTCGTCGGTATTACCAATCAACAGCAGTTCCGTTTATGATCCAGCTATTACTAAGAGGATGATCGATGGAGGAATAAATTCTATTCGATACATTTTGACAGACTTTCCTTGAGTCTTTCCGCGATATGGTATGGCAGTGGCTTACATACGTTTCGTCGTCATCGCCATCTTCACGGCTATGCGCCCCTATGGGGATAGGGGGATCAAAAACGTTAAGAGCAAACACAATCGAAAAAAGTCATGTTGGAAACATAGGCGATAAAATGGCAATGTCTATATATTTGAGGAAAATCCGGAAGCAACTGGCTCCAGGACGAATCGGACAACATTCCACATTTTCTAGTCTTGACCTACTCCCGGCTGTTTATATAGACCTTGCTCAAAACTGTGATAATCCGAAAAAATGATAACATGTCTGATCCTAATATGAGGTCCGTTACAACACCTATGCAGTGCTGGACAGACGCCTATTTCGCCCTTACAGGCTCCTCATTAGCACAGTGCCCCTCGGTCCAGCCGACCCCTTGAAGATATACCTCGACATATAGAGGAATCGACGCCGAATAATAGATCCTCGCAAGTCAGTCAAGGTCCAATTAATGATCACTGCAATGTCGAGGGACCTCGTCACCTGACTTGCGGTGATCCGTTATTAGGCGTCGATTCCTTCATATGTAGGGGAGTATGCCATCAATGGATCGGCTGAGCCGAAGGGCACCACTGTGCTACCCAAGAGCCTGGAAGGGTGGAACAGGCGTCTGTCTAGCACTGTATAAGTGTCGTAAGAGACCTCATAAGAGGCTCTATGATGTGATCATATTATCAGATTGTCACTGTTTTGAGCAAGGTCTACATAAACAGTCGAGAGTAGGTCAAGACCTGAAAATATAGAATGTTGTCCGATTGGTTCTGAAACCAGTTGCTTTCGGCTTTTTATCAATTAAATAGACAATACCGTTTTATCGTCTACTTTTTTATCATGGTTTTCTTCTATTCTGTTTACTCTTAACATTTTTGATCTCCCCATACATATTTTGATCTACCTATATGTAGCGCGTGGCCCTGAAGATGGCGATGCCAACGAAACGTACGTAAGCCACTGGCCATATCATACCCCAGACAGACTCAAGGAAAGTCTGTCGAAATGCAAAGAATAGAATTCATTTCACAATTGATCATCTCCTTAGTATTAGCTGAATCATAAACGGAACTACTGTTGATTGATAATACCGACGAGATTAAAGGAAAGTCGGTCTTCATGATATAGTCATTGCAAAACGAGCGTCGGTGGTGCAACGGTTAGCTTACGTTTCCCGAAAGAGTGAGATCAGGGTTCGAATCCCGGCTGACGCAAATGTTTTTGCACAGCACTACACATTATTGGGTAGTCATTGTATAGCTTTCAACCTCGATGTGACACATTTTTCTTGAGTCATGGTAATTCAGTATGTTAATGTCAACTTCACATGTACACATGTTTGAGCTAAATATGACTTTTGTTAATCATATTTTTTATGAAGAGTCACCCCTCTGAAGGCAAAAACTCATGGGATTCATAAAGGAAGAAAAAGGAAAAAGGAAAAAAGGAAAAGAAAAAAGAGGAAAGAAGTTTAGGAGGAAAAGAGAGCGTCTATACTCGATGAGTGACTGTGATCGCCGCATCTCCACGATTACGGTGACGACGTTTTGGTGCATTCACACCATCGCCTGCCGCAACGGCGCTCAGTTCTCGAAGCATGCGCGCAAGGGATGACGCCCGATCTTTTGCCTCACTCCGTGTGACCGCTATGGAATTCACACCGGCCGCAGTGCTTGCAGTCCGGAAGCCAAGTCTTATTTTCACTCCATAAGTAGAATTCCGCATGTGGCGCAGTGGTTAGAGGTGCTCTGCGCCGCACACGACGTCTATGGTTCGATCCCGCGCTTATGGCTCATCAAGCCATCCATCCCTTAGGAGCCGATAAATGGTACCAGACTGGTCTCAGACTTGTCTGGAAGGATAAGTAGCACTGACTCGGTTCAGCGGGAGGCCACCGCGAGTCATTGTAAAGGCTAGATATGCATTCAATCGCCTCAAACAAAATTAAAAATTGAAGAAGAATGCAAAGCGCATCCCTCTGGGATTTTTGAAGAATATCTGCGCTTTTGTAAGATTCTTCTTGGTCAGGAGTGCGTAGGCACAGTGGGTAGAGGTGCCCAGCAACGCCCAAGTGGTTGATGATTCGGCCCCGCGCTCAAGGCTCGCCAAGCCCTCCATCCCTCGAGATTGGTGAATTGATATCAGACTTGTTGAGGAGGACAGCAGCACTGACATGGTCCGGTTCGCCACCACGAGTCATTGTGAAGGCCAAACTCAATCACCTCTTTGAAGGTACAAACATAATCCAATGCATGGCACATCTGCCAGAGACTGACCAACGCTGAGAGTTTCATCTTCTATCCTGAAAGTTCGGTCAAAGTTCCTCTATAGATCCTTCTATAATTTTGAACGCTGCACAACTTCTGCGAATGAGAGACAAACACTGGTCCATCTTTTTTGGCGTGTGTTAAGGTAATCAAAATAAGGACATTATGTCTGATAACCATTTTTAAGCCATGCATGTGCTCTGTTATGGGCACTTATACAGTACAATACACGTGTTTCGGCCTTGCAGCCTCGTCACTTGCACGGTGCCTTTCGTCTTGAGCCAGCCCCTCTTGGTGTAGAGCCTCTTTACATAGAGGAATCGCAGACGCAGTATTAACACGCACCGTGAAGTGATAAAAATTAACAAACGGACAGTGTTGTAGACTCAATTGCTCTTGGCTAGTAATAATGAAATATCATACCATTCGTTTCGAGTGGTTAAGACCTAACGGCGCGCGTAAATATTACGTCTGAGATTTCTTTATGGAAGACGGTTCTCCTCCGAAAGATCTAGGATCAGACGAAAGGCACCATGTAACTGACGAGGCTGAAAGGCCGCAACACGTGTATTGCAGTGTATAAGTGCCCATAACAGACCATTGCCCGGCTCAGATATAATTATTAGGCATATTGAAATTTGAGCGTAGTTTAAAGATGCACTCGGAACGAGTGGTATATAATAATTTCAACATCAAAAAGGCTCAGAATGTTTTCTTAGACTACATTAGATGTTTATAGCGAGATTAGGAATAGTCGACTGAAAAACGATTTTGCATGTCAGATAATATTAGGTCTCCAACTTAGTTTCCGAACTTGATAAAAAGATTCAGAAATTTAATTTTCCAAGTAGTTGAAAGTATCAAATAACATTAATTAAATATTCTCCGTTTGCCTGGATGCAATCCTGTCAACGCTCCGGTAACAAATCAATTCCACGCCCATGAAACTCATTATTCTTCGATGCAAATCAGCCAATCAATTCTCGATAAAAATGACTGATGTCTCGAAACGCTTCTTCTTGTTCAACCAGTGCTCCAATGATCTGGAGAGATGGAAATCGGACGAAGACAGGCGTATGGCGCATACGGCAGATGATCTGAGTGCTCCCAGCCCAAATCGGTCAATCTTTTCCTTGTTTTCTTGGCAACGTGTGGCTTTGCATTGTCTTGAAGAAAAATGACCTGGAGACAGCGGTGAAGTGGACGGTGCTTGATTGCAACGGTCCAGTTGCTGACAATATCACTCAGCGTTGATGGTCTGACTGGCTTGAAACAAGTTCCACTTCGGGAACAAGGAATCGACCCACTTCGGTCTCAGAAAATAATCAACATTTGAACACTGCTTTTGGCGTAAATCGATTTGGCTCGATGTTCATGTTCCCTGCTGACCTGGTGACAACCACTAATTTGGACGATTTGCTGCCGAAGCGTTGGCGGAATTGCATCTAGGCAGACGGAGAATTTTGAAGGATGTTGTTTGATACTTTCAAGCTTTCAAAAAAATCTTTTTGTATTTTTGAACCAAGTGCGGAAACTTGGTTGGAGCCTTAGTAGCCGTAAGCCATCGACTGAAAAAATGGTGAAAACCACTATTTCAGGTGGATTTCACCGAAGCACAGTTCATCGTCTTTACCGTCACTAGAGGGCGTGACTAATGTGGCGGTGAGGCTTGGTAGAGGCGGGCAAAACTGCCAAAACGTGCGTAAGCCACTTACGTATCAACGTAGAAAAGCTAAAAAAATTCACTTATAGTATATGTTGCATAAACTATATTGCAATGTTTCCTTTCATTGTCATTTGAGCCAACTTGTCATATGGTCTGGTAAAGGCTCTTGTACACCAAATACATGTGTTACGTACTTACAGAGTCGTCAGTCGGGCAGAACTCGTCGTCTTTCAATCTTTTTATAATCAGTTTCCTCGGGAGCCCTACTCTCTCTACAGACAGTCATCGAAGACGAACGTTTTACACTCAGTCTCAAGTGAAATTTTCACCTAACACAGAAGAGTGTTGTACACTCAATTGCTCTTTGGCTGGTATTTTTATCATATTATACTTTACTTGCTCTCTATAGGGAGAGTAGGGCTCCCGAGAGAACTGACTCTAAAAAGATCGAAAAGCGACGGGTTCTGCCCGACTGACGAGTCTGTAAGGACGAAACACGTGTAACGGGTTTTAGAAAAGCCTTTACCAGACCACATGACAAATGGCTCAAATATTAATGAAAGGACCTATCAAGATTTGAGCGTGATCATAACAAACAATCGAAATAAAGTATAATATTATATTGCAATGTTTATCCTTCAGTTGTGATTTCCTCTCATTTTGATAAAATAAGACCCAAATGTCATCACAAGTATTGGGAACCCGAAAAAAAGCGATTTACGCTGCAGACCGTGTGCCACGTCAGGTCATCGATAGAGAGCGTCACTGACCACACTTGTTAAGTCACTTGCTTTTCAGTAGCAATGATCCTTCTCTGGATATAAGGAATTAAAGGAGAAATTATTGGGGGAACACCATCTCATGAACGAGATACGGTGAAAGATCTGCATTGGAGAAGCTATCAATTGATTACAAGAAGTGTGGAAAAAAATCGCTATACACCTAAACCACTGAAAAGAAAATGACATCCGGCTACTACGTCTCATTTCAAGTGACCTCTACAAAGGTTACGTCATCCTGGTCGTGTTGACGATCGCAATTTTTCTGAGAACAGAAAGTTAACATTTGCTAGTCAACCTGGTAAGCTACTCATAGCTTTGAATTTCTCAAACCTACTTAATTTTTGCTAAAGTAAATGGTAATAGTGCCGTGGACCGAGTGGTTTTGGTGTTTATCACGATTCGCGGAGGGCCCGAACTCCATCTCCAATACTCCGACAGCCAGCAGCGAACGCCTTATGGAACGCCACTGCCAGGCTATTTTCGAGATTCCGTGGAAACGTGACCAACCAGTATTTAACATTGTTCAAAAAGACGAAAAAAGAATTAGATGCTGGAAGTGCTGGGATCCATACAATAAAAAAACTCTGTGAAGACGAATCAAAAGAGTGTCAGACAAAAAAATGTCAAATGGAAATAGAGAATTGGAAGAGACATTACACAATGATAATACACAAATAAGAAAGCTTTTGGAATCAGAACGAAGGACTAAGTTTCTTATTGAAGCGCTATGTTTGACACGCACAGAAATACACCTCAACTATCATATAATATAACGCAGTGAGTTAGCAACGCAGCGGTTATATGATAGAGAATTTTTCATCCTACGCAAGAGCTTTCTCTCGAACAAGGGGTGTCCAAGACCATGATAACACAGAGCATAAGAGATATGTCGAAGTTAGAGGGACATGAAAAATATATGAAGGAACCGAGTAATAGAAACAGGTCAAAAAATTTGTGCACTAAAAGAGTTCAGTGGAGGCCAGCCACATAGAGCCTTATATGGGGATAAAATGTGCCTGGCCCACGCCGCAAAATCAGCTTGAGGTATGGCAAGAGATAACGCGTGATCACAAGACGATCTTCTCCGCCGTTCGTTCCTGTAATATCGCAAATATTGCGGATTATTTGATGAGTTTTGCTGCGCGCTTAGTTTGAGATTCCTATGTAAGAATAGTGACTGGGCGACGTAGGGCGACACTGCCCAAACGTAATTACGCTTCTAACGTAACAACCTCGAAAAGCCGCTGAAACATTCTTACGAACTATACTGGATATTTATAGCAAGGTTTAAAAATAGTCTATGAGATGAATTTCTGCTTGTGTTCTACCAGCCGTAATCCATCGACTACAAAAAATGGTGGTAAGACATTGTATGTGCTATCACCACAGATGACGTCGCCCCATCTCTTCTAAAAAGGAGGGTTCAGTGTGGGGCTTGAGCCACTGATGAAAAGGGTGGCATCGGCGAAACGTACGATGACTATGACCTAAAAACCTCA